CAAATCTTGTTACCCTTACAATACTTTATCTCTTAATTTTCATAAATCGTAATGATATAAATTATAAAATCTGTTACCAAAGTTAAAATGTGTAAAACATGGCACTTCGTCCTTGTATTCAACACCAATTATTTCTAAGCCGAAGGTTTTGAACATGTTTTTTAAAAAAGAAATAATTGATTTATTGGTTATATTTTTTCAGAATAATAGTTATCGGATAAATTATATGCAGCAGAAATTGATAAAGTACAGTACATGAGTTGATAATAAAACAAAGTGGGTTCACTATGAACAAATAATTCATATATGGTTTATTTTGCTTTTTCGTAGAACCAGAAATGGTTTTATCGCAAAGTCAAATTTTTTTTTTTTTAGTAAAATGCTACCCACAATATTTTTTATTCAAATTAGAATTTCCAGCCTTTATTCTTTTGAAATTAGTCAAATCATAGTCGCTCAATTCCCCGAAAACTACTTATCTGACAGTCCATTTACCCGATATCACATAGGGTAACAATTTAGCATTTAGTTAGCTATAGGTATATGTTATTAGTAAATTTTTACCTCATGTGATATCTGGTAAATAGATTTTCGAGTACGTAACCTTGGGATATTCGATGCACTCTTACAACAAAGATTAATGAAGGAACAATGATTATTTTAATTATAAATTTATTATAAAATTTAAAAAATTTTAAATTAATTTCTGCTATTTTCTAGTATTTTATTGACTGTTTTATACTTACAACTTTATTTTATAATAAAAATATAAAATATAAAAAAAAATATTACGTATAAAAATTATCTAAACATATAACATCTTATAATAAAACTATAAGTATTATATATAATATTTATATCAACTTGTCTTCCGTTACTATATTATTTTTAAGTTTAATCTCGAGTTCACGAGTTTTTAATTCTAATTGAAGTTTAAATTCAAGTTCTAACTTGTACTTCTCTAAGATAATTCGTTCTTCTTTTTCATGTTCCCACTTCTTTTGCTCAAACTTAAATTTTTTCTTTTCTAATTTAAGTAGTTGTTGTTTAGTTTCAGCTTCAATTTTCTTACTTTCAGCCTCAGTTCTTTTGCTTTTGGTAATTAAATCTATTGATTTGACATAATGTTCTTCATCTTCATTTAAATGTCGTTTTTTTTTTTGATTTTAAAGAATTTTCTTTCTGTTCCAAACTAGTACTGTAAATCTATACATAAAAAAAAAACAATTACACTATATGTAATAGAAATTCTACGGGCTGTTGTGAATATCATAGATTAGCATAGCGAAGCTATGGTAATATATGATGTCACAGCATACCGTTGAATATCTGTTATATTTCACAGTCCTATGCCTGTAACATTTCTAATTAAAATATTCACGAGCAAACATATAGAGCTATGGTAGAATATATATAATTAAAAGTATATATGATATGTTATACTTACTTGACCTGTACTATTAACTATATAATCTGAATTCATATTCTCACGATTACCAAATATATCATTCATTTCACTATAAAAAGCCCAAGTGGAGGTACCTTTACCTGTTTTGTTAGAACTCTCTGCCATATATTTGTCTATTAGTGATCGAATTTTATTGTGAACTTGTAACCCAGTTTTACCTTTACCAAGATATAATGCAGCTTTAAGGTAAAATTTTTCTTTATTTAGTCGGTAAAGTGACATATTGTCTGATAAATAAGAAATCAATGATTTAATAATCGAATTGGGCCATAGAGTAGTTTCATTATCACTATCATTTACTAAACTATTTGTTTTTTGTTTTTTTTTAATCATTGGTTTAGGAGATGAGAATAAATTATCCGAATTAAGTGTTAACAAAGATGTAGTAACTGAATTATCTGTATAATTTTCATTATTATCAAGTGTAATAGTTTCGACTTGATCATCTTGTAAATTAATAACTTCACAAATTGATATAGGTTTTTTAATAGAAAAATTATGACGAGTAGAGATTTTATTTTGATAAACTGAAAAAATAGGTTGGGTTTGTGCTTTTTTTAAAATATTCATTTTTGTTTCAAGTAAATATTTTAAATTTTTACCTTTGTAAGAACGTAGATATATTTATACTTAATAAAATTATTATTATCGTATTAATTATAGTTAGTTAAAAAAAATAGAGCTATTATTATAAATAATATTAAGTTAGTTACGTTTATTAGATTTTATTATTAAAAATTTATAGTAAGTACTTACGAATTAAAAGATATATTGTTGATCTGCAAAGTGTAAGATGACTAGCACAAATATATCTCTCTCTTAATTAATATTGAAATCTAAAGTATATATCACGATATCATCAGTCTTAATTGATTAATATTGAAATCTCAAATATCTATCACGATATCATCAGTTTGGAATGATGATTATTATTTATTATAAATGTAATCTTATCATACGGTAATTGTAATTTATAAAATTTATAAAATTTTAAATTTATTTCTAAAATACAAGAACTAATAATTAAGGCTCCAGCCTACAAGACGCTACCATTTTCCTAGTAATATTTTAATAACGAATCAAAGAACTAATTTGAAAAATAATCTTAATGTGGCTTTAATGTGATAAAATTATAAAAACGTGATTTAATAAGTCACATAAACAATACAAATCGAATTTTATTTATAACTATCGACTAACTATTTATATCTATTGACTAGCTATTTATATCTATTAACTACTTTAACGGGTAATAACCCAAATTGGCATAATCAACTTTAGAAAGGGCCTATATTTGATTATCACTTATCTAATTTAAGTTGTAAGGCTGTAAATATGTATGAATGACGATGCTTTTACACTAATC